CTTCAGCTCCCTGGCACACCTGGGATAAGTCGTCAACGTAAGACCTGGTAGACACACTAGGATTCCCAAAGAAATACCGATTATGCACAACATTCAAAATCTGATATAAATACACCTTGACCCAGGACATGGACTGCATACATCCAGGGAGAACGCCAATCCCAGCAGGTATGACCTGGGAGCAAAAGCCGCTACTCTCGAGCATCCTGGGGGCCACATGCACGAGGAGGCCCAGGTAAAGGAGGTGCGGTGGGAACTTCAAATCAGTGGCGAAACGAACAAGCCTAGCAGGGATAACAGTATCAAAGAATTTTTTGAGATCCCAGTGGATCGCAACGCTGGAGACTTCTTGGAAAGCGGCCACCTCGTGAGACAGCTCTCGGCGAAGCGCAGCTTGCAGGGCGGAGCTGCCCCTGATGGCGTCATCCCAAAAGTCAACATGACCCTGGGTCCAGGCCCCCAAGAAGTCCCCACGAACCTTACAGTAGATGCGGTAGAGGGTGGGGCATTTGCAAACGGGGCGCTCATCAACCTTGCTTTTAGGCAGCAAGCAAATAATACTAAGGAGAGTCTGGGCAGGCCACATCATGTTGGCCTCACAATCATTCAAGAGCCCGACAAGAGCATCGGCGGCACCTAACTCCAAGTCCAGAAAATCCCGAGGTCTCCATCCGTCCACTCCAACCGCAGTGGTCTCGGAAAAGACCCTCGCAGCGAGATGGAGGTCCCGAGTGGTGATCTCAGGAAGTTCGGGCACCAAATCAAGCGCGCAACCACGAAGCTCATCCAAAGCCCCATTCAACTGTCGAATCTGGCTTGGGCTGGCAGTCCAAAAACCACCCCAGATTTTCTCACGGTGAGCCATCATCTCCTGCGGGGGCTGGAGAATACCTTCTGGGGCAGCAAAAAACTCTAACCCCTCCTGTTCTTCACGCCTAAGCCAGGCGTGGGCTTTGGCGGCACCTCGAGGCAGCGCCTTCAACAGCCAGTCCTTAATCGCCTTAGCTGCTGACGCGCGGGCAACCTGCCAAACCTTAGAGAGGACTGCCGTGCAACGATCTATCATCTCCTGACATCGGTCCAGATCGACCGATTTCAAATCGCAAAGCTGAGCCTGCCACTGGTGGGCAAACTGGTCGGCAGGAAGACACCCGCAGCACTGTAGGACTCGACGTCCCAGTGCTCCCAGCCGAGAAGAGATGGATCTTAGCATACAACCGTAACCTTTCTTAAGAGCAACACGCATCTCATACAACTTCTGGGAGACAGTGGACCAGTACGTGAGCGTCGGCTGGGCAAAACACCCACTCCGCTGAGCATGATCAGTAAGGGTAGCTTGTCGGAACACCACAAAGTCACCCCGTCCTCGATAGACCTCCATATCCTCCTCCTCCCCAGCAACCACTGACATCATCATCCTCTCCTTAGTACGTGACCATAAGAGATAAGACGAGGTCAGCTCGTGGGAAAGGTGGGCCTGAACATGAGGAAGCTGGGGCTGCAGTGCTGCTTGTGGTGGAGTCCACTCCGCCAGCTCAGCCTTAAAGCGGTACTCCCAAGGCAGCAGAGGTCCTTCATGCACTGGCAAGGCTCTAGGCCGAACACGCTTGGTCATCACTTGTAGCAAAGCTGCGTACGGCAAGCGGACCTCCAGGCAACAGTGGGTCTTGAAAGGGGAAGCCTGGTACTTGGACACACGCAAGTAGGGAGCCAGGGTATCACTGGCAATTACATAGTCAATCAAGAACCACCACCAGCACTACACGTGAAAGCGACACCAGCAGGAGGTAAAGCTTTCGCACGGGTCATCTTCAGAAAGCCACATACCTCCATGTGATCCAGGCTTATGTTGTAGTCCCCCATCAGGAACCAGGGAATAGTGAGCGTGTTCACGAACGCTGTGATTTCCTTCATCTTCAGGATGTTTTCCCCCGAGACCCCCAGGTCAGCTATCATATATACAACGCCGACGGCCATCACACAGGACTGGGTACGGAGTTCCAAAAACATCCAGCCATTACCAGCACCAATGTCCCGAATCTGGCCCGCATGGGCCAGGAAACGTTTGAAAAACAGGCCTTTGTGCACCGCCGCTCCAACCCCACCGTGGGCCCCACCGCCAGGGGAAGGCGTGGCAGGGAGGAAATGGGGGCGCCACCCAGCGGCGGCGACATCACGCTTAGCCGACTTCAAATCGGCGGGGAGCTGGCGGTGTTCGGCGAACATAAAGGCGTCAGCCTTACCATACAACTGAGAAACGAACGATTTAGCTAGAGCACTCCAGCTGGTTATATTGCAAAAAAGGAGGCGCAGGCCAGACTCACTAAAGCGGCGGCGGCATCTCCGCGACCGTTGCCTTGAAGAGCTCCTTGAACCCAGCGCCAACTTCACGTTGCACACGTCGCATGCGCTTGGCAGCACGGGTGTGGGCTTTCTCGAACATGAGGGTCTCCATGCGAGTCTGGTCGGCGTCCACCATAGCACCTTCCATCGAGCGCTTCTTGAGCGCAGCCAGTTCATCAGCACGCTCTGGGGGAAAGTCGCCAGCCTCGGAACCAGCATCACTTCCAGCATCGGACTGGGCGCTGTCGTAGATCTGCTTCTGCATCTCCGCGAAACGCGCCACCAATGCATATGGAAGGTTGTTGGCCTGGCAATACTCGCGAATCTGAGGACCATCCATGGTATGCAACTCGGGGATGTCGAGATCCATACTCTGTGGAGGTACAGCAGCAGGTGGCGCTCCATCGGACGAAGCTGGGCGTCCACTCGTGCAAGCAGTACCTTCATCAGTCGGCACACGCTGCGCAGGCCTGTGCGGGGCCGAGGCAGGGGCAGCTGCGTGGGCCACGCGGGCAGCCTCGGCCGCCGCTGCGGCCTGCGCATGCTCTTGCCGCTTGACATGAACCCATTCTTCTTGAGAGAACCGAGCAACGACTTCATCGGCCTCCCGCTTCTTCTGTTCAGCAGCACGGTACTCACCTTCCGCTTGTTGGTGATGGTCACGTGCTTCTCGAAGAGCTTCTTCCAACTTTGGACCTTGTTGGCGCGGTGGTGCACCTCTTGTGAAGCCAGGCGCACCGCTTTGGCACATACCTCCACCTCTTTAGTAAGCCGAGTATGTTCATGCCGTGCAGCGTCTGCATACTGTGCCGGCGTCCACTCTGCGGATGCAACTGGAGGCGGAGGAGCCAGCGCACCAAGAACGTTCTGCAAGTCAGGGCGTGCAGCGAGCAGAACTGCAGCTGCAGCACGTAGCTGAGGGTCTCCGTCTGGAGCACCTTGTCCATTCCCTCCAGCATCACCGCCAGCGGGTTGGCCACCATCTCCTTGCTCTGCATCTCCGAGATACTGCCCGCCACAGCGGGAGCAGCACCAGTTGCCGTGGTACCTGAAATCCCAGTGGCGACACGCGGAACAGACATCATATTCAAGGTTGGAGGTTCTGGCAGCCTTCTTCTTATTGCTGCCTCGCCCCCCCCAACCTGCATTGCCACCACGCCCACTACGCCACGGGGCACTGCCGCGCCAGGCCATGGCGCGATCACGCGTGGAAGGAGAAACGAAAGGAAAAGCACACAGTGTGCCGTGTTTGCAAAGATGGCCACCTGCAGGCAGCGCGCTGGTCGAGGCGTCAGGCCTGGAGAAGGGGCTGCCCTTCCACCTCGCCTCGAGCCTCAGGAGTCGGGACGGGAGGTAAGCTCCGTCTTGAGCCAAAATGGCTACGGGGAGGAGGAGGAGGAGGAGGAGGAGGAGGAGGAGGAGGAGGAGGAGGAGGAGGAGGAGGAGGAGGAGGAGGACGGGGAGGAGAAGGAGAGGAGGAGGAGGAGGAGGAGGAGGAGGAGGAGGAGGAGGAGGAGGAGGAGGACGGGGCCTCGAGGGAACACGCGCAGGGGGGGTCGGTGCGGCGGCGGCGGCGGGCCTCCTCTGCTGGCCCTCCTCCTCGATCTCCCGGGCCTCGCCGCGTGCGGCGCGGCGAGCTGTCGCCGCGCGCCCCCCCCCCACCGAGCCGCGCTCTCTGCCGCTCGGGGCTCGGGAGGCCTCGTCGGGGGGCTCTGTGCGGCGTGCTCCTTGAGCTGTGGATCGGCAAGCGCGCTCCACTGCTCGCAGAGTAGCTCCTCGCAAATGGCCGGAGCTCGCCGCGGGGGATGTACGCTCCACTACATAGGAATATACTACATGATTACTTCTGACGCTCGCGAGCAGGCATTTTGCGAGCAGTGGAGCGCGCTCGGTGAGTGGAGTTGGGCCATCGTGCTCTCTCTCTCTCTCTCTCTCTCCCCTGCGCCGCGTGCCGCCCTTTCGCCTCTTCTTGGGCAAGCTGCGAGGCGAGGCACCGACCTGTGGCGCACAACGCCCTCTCGCCTCTCGCCTCCTCCTCCTTCCCCCGCCCAGCTCGGCAAAGGCCGGCCCTGCCCCCGCCCAGCTCGGCAGAGGCCTCACACCGGGCGTGCCCCACAGGCACGAACCTGAACCTGGATCAGATGATCGTGGCGTTCTTCTTCTTCTTCTCCTCCTCCTCCTCCTCCTCCTCCTCCTCCTCCTCCTCCTCCTCCTCCTCCGCCTCCGCCTCCTCTGCCTCCTCCGCCTCCTCCTCCTCCTCCTCCTCCTCCTCCTCCACCTCCGCCACCGCCTCCTCCTTCGAACGCCGAGACCAATCCACTGCGAAGAGATGACCCATGCTACCACGACCGGCAACACGCCGCCCCGCTTGCACAGTCGGACCCAGGCCAGAGGAACATCCATCAAGAGCACGAGACCCTCCGCCGGCAAAAACAGACAGGACATCCAAGGGTACACTCCCCAGGATGCAAAAGAACATTCAACAAACACGAAGAACATTAGGGTACCCTCCTCGAACCGACTTCGATCTTATACCTCAGTCCGACTGTATGTCGACGCGCGCGCGCGCCACTTTTTCTTCGTACGCCCCGCGGTGCACAGCGGGTCCCCCCGCCGTGCGCCTGCAAACCATGACCGGCCCCCTCTGCGCCAGCGGCTCAGAGGCCAAGGAGGCAGAGGAATAAGATAAATGGGAAGCATAGGCACTGAGACGACCTGCAATCAACATCCCCTGGCTCTCGCTCAGTGCAGAAAAAAACAGTGGGCATATTGCACAGAACGGCACTGCTCTTCTGCAAAGAATGCCTCTACCACCGCTGCTGCTTGTCAGATGCCCCCCCCTGCAGGATCACGTCTGGTCTGCATGCTGGGAAGACTGCCAATTTAGACAACGTAGGCCCGCCCAACTGCTCAAAATCGGTCCCCAGAACCCTTCCGGGGTTTATCCTGACCCGTTTTTCGCGGCGGATCCAGCCGTGGCGACGAGATGCCTCCAGGAGGCCCCAACGACGTAAGAAGGCAAGGGGAGGCCGTCGTTGTCCCGACTGGCCCTCCTCCGACGTGGTTTTTTTTTTGGGGGGGGGGGGGGCGGCAACGACTGGCCCTTCCCCCGGCTCAGGTGGGCGAAGCGTCGAGCTGGAATCGGCGACACATCGCCGACAGCTCGGCAGTATGCCCCCGACAGCAAATCCGCACGGTCCTGGGCGGGGCGGGCTATCGGGCCCCGATCGGCGATCCACGGGCGACGGGGGGGGGGCGATGCACCCCCCCTGAGCCCGTTCCCCCTGACGCTGCCTCCGAAACTGATCGCCACCTCCTCCCCCTTCCACAGCCTCGGACGCCCGAGATGGGTACGGACAAAAAACGGCACTGTACCCAAGAGCACGTGGTGTCCAAAACCTGCAGCGGCCGCTGTTGTGGGCAGGCGGCCCTCGGCCTCAAAGGGGCAGCGTCCGCGGGCGGCACCGACAGCGAGTCCTGCTCAAAACGAACCAGAACCACCCGTTCTTTCCGTACGACAGGTTCGTGTCATGCCCAATTCGGCGTTGGTTTCTGCGATACCGCGGGAATCGTTCAACCGTGAACTATCGGCCGTTTTTACAACGCAGGATCGTTCGACGATGGGGCCGATTCTGGGCCACGGGCGGCGTTCCACGTGGAACGCCGGCGGCGGGGCCGTGACCATGTCGATCGTCCCGAGCAGCGTGCCTCGCCGCGCAAGCAGAGGAGGGGCGGCCAGGGGGCAGGGATCGAGCCCAACAGTTTGTGCTCGCTGTCGTCGTGCTTTCGTTTTCCTTCACTCTGTCGTCGTTGTGCCCTGGCTGCGAAACGAGACCAAAGCGAAGACGATTCACGACATCGCCAAGACAGCGTCTAGCTCGAGCGCTGCCAGGAGGCCGAGGGGCGCGTACAAGCGGGCAGGGGGAGGGGCGAAGGCTTCTTCGAAGGAGGCTGCTTGTTCGAAGGCGCGGCTTCTTCGAAGGAGGCTTCTTCGAAGGAGGGGCGAAGGTGTCTTCGAAGGAGGCTTCTTCGAAGGAGGCTTCTTCGAAGGAGGCTTCTTCGAAGGAGGGCCCGCGCCTTCTAAGGAGCAGGGGCGCTTCCAAGAAGCCGTCCCCCCGCCACCTTACCCCCCTCCTGCGCGTGGCGGAATGTCGATCGTCCCGAACATCTGGACGCCTGGAGTGGGTACGGAAACAGTGGGCACCGATGCCCAGCAACAAGTGCTGTCCAGAACCGACAGCGGCCGCTGTGGGGCAGGCGGCTTTCTGTTTTCGGTGAACGACGTCCGCGGCGGCGCGGACAGCGAGCCTTGTTCGAAATGAACAAGATCTGTGGCTGGGCATCGTACCCATTCTTTCCGTACCCATTTTAGGGAGCCGCGCTCTATACACCGCCGCTTTTTCCTGCCATGCACAGAAACTTGCCCAGGAAAGCGGATCCTGGTTATACGGGATCCTGGTGTCTACGTTGTTGGTTGTTTCCCGGGGAAGATAGGGAAACAAGTATTATACACCACACCACCCCGACGTCGCCCCAGACCCCCAAACAGTCCTGGGATTGAAAAACGGCCCGCCGCTGGCAATGCATACGCTACAATTTCCGACATGTCGATCCTTGCTTGAAGTAGGAAGGCGCTTGAAACAGATGGGGATCTGGGAATCCGGAAATACCTACTTTCAACGACCGGCGTGTACGCTACAATTTCCGAGATTTCGATCCTTCCGACAACAGCGTGCCTCCCCGCGCAGGCAGAGGGACGGCCTCGAGGCCCGTGGGGCAGGGAGGGCGCGGCGCAGCCGCGCGCTCGCTCGGAGGGGGGGCCAACGAGGAGGAGGAGGAGGAGGAGGAGGAGGAGGAGGAGGGAGGAGGAGGAGGAGGGAGGAGGAGGAGGAGGAAGGAGGAAGGAGGAGGAGGAGGAGGAGGAGGAGGGGAGGAGAGGAGGGAGGAGGAGGAAGGAGGAGGAGGAGGAGGAGGAGGAGGGGGAGGAGGAGGAGGAGGGGGAGGAGGAGGGGGAGGAGGAGGAGGAGGAGGAGGCCCACGGGGCAGGGAGGGCGCGGCGCAGCCCGCGCTCGCTCGGAGAGCCCCGCGCCGCCTCCCGCGGGCCCCGCTTTTTCGCCGCGGGGCCGCGGCGGCTCAGCCCTCCTTCTTGCCGCCGTCCTGTCGGGGGGGGGGGGCCCGGGAGGGGGGCGCCCAAAAGGGGGGGGGGGCCCAACGAGCCGTGGCCCGTGGCGCGCGCGCGACCGAGGGAGGAGCCAGAAGCCCGAGGACGCATCGGGCCATCGTTCGGACGTCCATTCCCTGTGCTTTATTCGGTTTCGTGCGTGGTTTTTCGCCAAATGGTCAAGGATGCTCCTCGATGGTCCTCGCCGAAGGAAAAATACACACGTCCGATCGATGCCAAGGCATCGGAGTAACACGGGGCAGGCCTGACATCCCAGATCCTCCCCCGCCCCCTCCCCCTGCCCGTCCTCCTCCTCCCCCTGCCAGAAAGTAAGCTGGCCAGCGCAGTCGGGCCTCGTCGCACAGGAAGGTGCATCACAGCATTGCTGGATCTCGGAGCGCCGGATCGGGATCCCCAGTATCGGCTACCCGTGGACACGCTTCGGATGTGGTTGGCGACCTGGACAACATGTCTTCCCTTGGACATCAATGGCTTGACATCCCTGGGGTCTTCGTCTCCGAGTTGAGTTTATCGAAGCACAGGTGTGGCAGCAGGCGGCCGAGCATTACGGAGGTTCAAGCATGTCTGGCGGAATCTGTAATTTCTCGTATCGGAAGTTGTTGCAGCAACTCGAGCAGGCTCCTGGAGGGCAACGGGTTTCTGGGCTGTTACTTGCATCTGCGACAGGCGCGACGTGGCCACGCACACGCCGTCAAACACGTTGTCGTCAATCCCTTTCTGTGTTGTGCGCACGTTGCAGATCTGAGCCTGAAACCAGTTTTCACAGAGTTTGGAGTTTTAGTAGTCGTACTGATCACCCTATTCAGAACTTCGCGAGGATTTAGTAGCCAAGATCTTTACCCAGGCTGAAGCAGGTGAATGTTTCTGGACCAGGGGCTTGCTGCCTAAGGCGTGGCTTGCAGATGACCCCCATCCAGGCTCCGAATCGTGGGTGATCTCCAACGGGCTCGACTTTGGCTCCTGGCTCCTAGGTTATGGTGAGTCTTGGGATCGGCAGATCTGTCTTTGGAGACGCGAGTAGGGGTAAGGACACCCACCACCCCCTCCTGCGCAAAGTAAGTTGAGGGCTAGCAGCATTCGGGATCTCGATGATGATGTGAACAATTTTGTAGGCGCGTGGGGCCCCCTTTTCAGGGTCCAAGCAAACGGTTGCCCGAGAGGAGCTCCAATGTCTAGTTCAATACGTCCAAAATGCTGTGTGCACGTCACGGACAACGATACCGTGAATGCAGGATGGCACCAGCGCAGGTGGCTCACTTCCTCTGGTCCTGACGCCGACCTTCGGTGGAAGCTCGGGCTCACGCTTGAGCAAAGAAGAGACAAAGACGCATGTATTGTTTTTTTCGTTCACGCGCATCCCGAGGGTGAACAAGTTGCCAGAGGCATTGCACCACGTCCCCTGGCACTCGGTAACACATTCGCAAACTGTGTTGCAACAGCTGGAACTGAAGATGCCCGCTTGGCTGAGTCGTTACGTGCACGCATACATACAATCGAATCGCAAACTTTCGCAGTCCACATGAGAAACCTCCAGAGCGCCCTCGAGGCCGTCCTGCCTGAGGAACGTCTCGAAGCTGAGGAGGGTGGTAGGCGCAGGCGTAAGCAAACAACGATCTCTGTAGTGAGGCCCCCAGCGGCCACTTTGTGTGCGTCCTTTTCAACATCACATTGCCCCAGGAGCGTTTCAGGAGCTGTTCCAGGTGTCAGGGGTCCGCGTCCCATGCGCGCAGACGCGAGTGTACATACTCTCCTTGCTGTTCCTTCAGTCATGTGGACGGGGTTCTCCGTAGGCCTCACCAAGGGCAGCGGGTGCACATCTCAAGGGGTTTCTTTCGTTCAAGAATCTCATGCGTTGAGGCTTCACTCGGGTTTAGAGCGCTGCTTGTGCACACTATGTGGGTGCTTCGCCTCTCAGCAGTTGAAGCAACTCGGTAGTGTGCGTGTGTGTGTGTGCGTGTGTGCGTGTGTGTGTGTGTGCGTGTGTGTGTGTGTGTGTGTGCGTGTGTGCGTGTGTGCGAGTGTGCGAGTGTGCGAGTGTGCGAGTGTGCGAGTGTGCGCGT